TTTACTAAACATTCACCTAGTTCATCTTCATATAAGGTTGACTATCAAAAGTCAAACTTTCCCAAACCATATCATGTATACACAACTATTTCTTGTTATCTAATCATGATTTCCACAAGATAATAAGTTATGTATTACATATCTTACACAATATCAAGATTTCAGCTTATAATTCTCAACATGCAACCCTAATTTCATGGTTTCTTGAACTCAAAGTGAATACATTATAAAAAAATGGAAGCATACCTTCAATAATCTTGCAAAATTTCACCAATTTCTTGCTAAAACACCCAAGTTTGGTTCCCTTGAAGAGTACAGAAGCTTAGAAACGAAAATGGGGAAGAATTGGGGCTGAATTCGTGTTTATATTCGTGTTTATATGTCTAAAACCCGAGTTAGGCCGGTTTGACCCGGCTGGGTACCCGTTTTGACCATTAAACACTAAAAATTGCAGAACTTTTTGCTCGAAACTCCGTTTTCGATAACGTTTTCGCCTACGCGTTCATAACAAGATAATCTATAATTTACAATAAAAAAAGTTTCATAAAAGACCTCCCAATAACAGCAGTTTTCATATTTGTACGAGTTATGCTTTCCTTTGAAATTTTGCCGTTTTTGATTTTGAGTTCCGAATCCCGTAAACAACTCCTAATAGGTCCAAAACTTAGTTCCAAAGCTTAACATCTTATCAAAAACCTCCCGATTGAGTATTGTGCGTGTAATTTATCGAAATCATACCGTAATTTGAAAAAAACTTGCATAAAATGCAATCTACGTGACTTTTTCGACTTCCAACAATTCTAACACTTCATATTAACTTATTCAAAGGTGTTCCAACATTTAGATTACCATTTAGATCTTCATTCAAGTTTTGAATAGATTTTTCTCATTTAGGCACTTTAGATACCTACCCAACTATCATGTATGCAATGAACTTTGTATGTTGAACCCTCACATTATCTAATTATGTCAATTGTGAGGTGTTAGCACCAATCTTACCTTCTACATCTCATTTCAATTATGAGTTCTACTTATAGCTCACTAGTATACTTAGCATTTTAGCAAAAAAAATTTTAAAAAATAACACATAAGGTATGTTTATAATTACTAGTTAAACATATTTAAATAGGTGGATGTTACAAATATAAATAAAACACACCATAATCAATTCTACATAATGAATCTTTTTGAATAGAAATTAAAAAAAAATTGTATTACATTACATGAACGAAATGGTTTCACAGTTTCATCAATACACTAATCAACGTAAACCTGATCAGATTTTGTCATTTTCATGTTATTGGTAGATGAATCCGTTTCATTTTGATAATGAAATTGTTTCATTGTTCACTAATTACACAAAATTTTCTTAGAAACCATGAAATAGTTTCACTTTCTTCAATAACCCATTTCATCGGCCAGCATGGTTTGATGAGTTATTTGTCATTTCATGTTATTGATAATGAAATTGCTTCACTTTTCGCTAATTACACATGTTTTTCTTATCTTTTTTGAAATAGTTTCACTTCCTTCACGCACTCATATCATGATGCACCCATTTCATCATGCACCCATTTTTCATCATCATTTTCACTTACTCCATGCACCAATTTCATCATGTATGAAACCGGTTTCATGAATTTTTTTTGATTCTATTGCTGATTTCATTGATTTATTAATCTAATAACTTACGATTTTCATGAATCTTGGCAGTAATAAACCAAGACACAATATAAGAAAATCCAATTTTTACAATTATAATTTAATTAAATATTTTCCATTTATAAAATTTTCTTTATTATGTTACTTTAATTCAGATTTATTAATAACTTCCATATTTAATAGAAAACAATGCGAATGACCAATATACCCTTAATGATTAAATTTAATTAGAAAAAAATGAAAATTTTCTATTGGTCGAAATTGATTTACACGGTTTCTAAGAATTGCACGGTTTTCATTCAAAATTAGGGTTGGGTTCACTTGTGATCAAGAGTTTTTCATGAGACCCGTAAGATCAATTTATGTTCATTGATCAACTTTATAAACTAATGATTTAATGGTCTAAATTTGCACGGTGACAATTTTGTGTTATTGAGAAGTCTCGTGACAATTTTGTGATGATGAATGTTCAAATTGTAGATTTAATTCAAGAGTTGAAAATTGGTCTTAAGGATCTCACGAAAACCCTTGGTCTCACATGATCCCAAGTATATATATCCCTTTTTAATACTAAGTACCATATTAGTTAAATATCCAAATAAGAATGTAGGTAGCCAACAAACTTCATACGATAAGAGACCTTGGAGGGATAGATACGTAGCACAATATATATATATATATATATATATATATATATATATGGACGTCTAGCTTCTTTATAGTTAATTTATTGGATGGTACATTATAATATTATATATTTGATCAAATTCCGATGAGCTGGAATGTTTCAGGCGCTAAGTTGAAAACGTTGAAGAGGCCTCGAGCGGTGGTGCCAATGAATTGTAGTGGAGATTGCAGAATTCCAGTTGATGGTAGGGTTGCATTGCAATTGGAAAGTGGTGTAACAACATGCACATTGCAATTCGATGACAGAAGGTTGCTTAGAAGAAACTGAAGCGGATTCAAAATTATATTAAACATTCCTGATCCATTGGTTATGGCCGATGATATCACATTTCCACCACATGATACTTCAACCAAAGCATCTGGTTTACATATATATACACACACAACACACATCAATTAATTAGTAAAGTAATTAATTTAACTATATATAAAATATTGATGGAAGGAGTAGAATTAGTACTTGGGAATGGGGGGATTGGGGTAGTGGGATTGGCAATGATGTTGCCATTGAGAGAGCATGATACCAATCCAGAGATGTTGATGAGATTGAGGAGTCTTGAAAGTTGAGCATCTGCTATATGTGATGTCGATACAACCATGAGCAAAAACGCAACATATTTCAAACTCCCCATGGCCATATAGATAGATATATGATGATGACAATAATCAAGATTTGAAGGTATCTGCATTTGCTGCTGCATGTAACACCTATTTATAAGGGAATTAAGATTTGTTTTGTGAATCAAATCCATCCTCAAAAGTCTTTGCAACTTGGTGTATGAACGCACGCTTAACACTTGTCGTGGGGTTTATGCAATGCTTTTCGTCAAACACAAATGCACCTCCGAAAAGTAACTTGTACTTTATTTTTCTGAAAGATTTGGTAGGATGCTAGTAGAGGTTAAAGATTTGATGCATCCAGGATTGGTTTGGTTCGTGTGTGTGTCTATATATATATATATATATATATATATATATACATATAGTGAATGTGAGTTATCATCCAATCCGTATGTAAGAAATCCTTTTGTGTATATATACAACAGTGTGTGGATCAAAGCAACCAAAAAGAAAGGTGGATTATTTTATTCATTTTGGAAATTAAAAATCACAAGTCAAGAGAGACAAGTTGAAAGCCGGTAAGATAGGGTTAGGTTAGGGCATGCATGCACTTGTGCATGGGTTGTGGGGATCACCCAACTTCTTCAACTCTATAGTTTACTTTTTATGCAATGAATCATCATCATCCAGAATTAAGATTTGTGTTTTGAGACAGGATTTGTATTAATTGTAAAAGATGAACAAAACTAATAAGCTTCCAAACACATGTATCTATTTAACTAGTCTTCCTCTCCACCCTCGTTTGAAGTATCGCAACTCATAAACATTGCTTGCAGTCTTTGTTAGAAAGCAACTACACGCAAGCCAATCACTCACGTTGTGTTTCTTCAAATAAATCATCATCTAAACATTAGCAATAAGCACCATTCTAATACCCTCCAGGCTCCATCCATCTCCAATTAATAGACATAACTTCTTCTTTCTATATCATGGAGGCAATGCAAAAAACAAGAAGCAAAACAACAAACAGATATTAATCACATAAGGTCATCATGACCCACACAGTGTTGTATCAACAGGTGGTGGTGGTGTACTACTACTACTACAGCTTAAATACTTGAATAATAATGTGGAATCCCTTTTGTCAGTGTAGCAACAAGAAATGACTTCATCAATACCCTCTGCTGCTGCTTTTCCATGTGCAACCTGGCCCGACTACTCCTTTTTGTCATCGTTTGGTTTTTTTAGTTAGAATTTAGTGGGTTCATCTCAAATTATCCGTTACCGTTAGGAAAACATATACAAAGTTGCCTCTTCTTCATACTCACCACACCTTATCAGGGAGAGATTCTCCAATTTCCAACAGGTCTCTATGGCAACCACCAAGTTACCATCAAACTTCACATTTATTTCCGGAAACAAAGAATAACTCACATGTGTTATTCTGTAAAAAAAAAAAAAAAAAAAAAAAAAAACTTACATCTGGTGAGTTTGGTGCTTGTTGCATCGCATATGTTAGACTACCCCACTTCTATATGATGCACAGTATGAGTATACTATGCAGTCAGCTACTTTGTCTTTTCCACTAAATACAATGCATATTTATCCCCTGAAACAAGAGTATTTTAGATATTTCAAGGCAACTTGCCTTGAAATTTCTGGCTAATGTTCATATACTTGTAGAAATATCAATTGATGAGATGAATGTCATCTTTAAAATAGAAAATATCTACAAGTCATAAACATTAATTAGGATAACAAGATTACACATCAACTCAACCATCATCCACAGTGGATGAATATCAGCACACAAACTATAACATATTCATCACACAGAGAAGATATAATAGTAATCACCTCACATTTTATTTACATCTAATTGTTTTGCAATAAAAATTACTTTTATAAACTTTGCCCTCACCAGAATATGATGATAATCAAGGGAGTCAAAAAAAAATTTCTTCTGAAAACTAACAAAATAATATATATATATATATATATATATATATATATATATATATATATATATATGTTTGATGCATATTTGCCAAGAATAGAATATCCTTCCAAGAAGACAGTGATGTTCACAACATCTACATTTTAATCTTAAAAGTAATTAAAAAGATTAAACATTTCATAGTCAAATAGGTATCAAAATATCTCTTCCCAGTATAAATCACTAAACAATTACTCAACCAACCAACCAACTCCTCTTCTACTATAAGATACTATTGAAATTCACAGCAACATCAAGCAAGACATATTGGCAACTTGATCAGTATGTACATAAAAGAAGCATAAATTATTCTTCAATAATACAAATATTAAATAATGCAATAATCAACTAAATGTTAAAAGATAAACAAATTAAGCCCATAAGAACATTCTTGAATCCTTACATGCTCAACTTTATAGATTCGATTCATTTAAATTTCAATCTCATGTAGTACCTTGGATGACCATTTTTCAAAAAATGGCAGGACCGGACTTGTCAATTAAGATTAATAGGGGTGCCATTAGCCTTCCCCTTAATTATCTTTTTATCATTCCGTCTATTTAATCATTTACATCAAACAATTTAGCAACTACCAAATAACTCCTAAAACTGACAAATTATCCTTTTATTTTGTTTTTCTTTTTCAAATTAACTATAATATGACAATACAAATTTTCCGGTATTATTTTTTAATTTCATGAGTTAGTTGTTGAAAATCGGTTTCGTAAATAAATCCAAAGTTGGTTCTGTTTTAGTACAATTAACTCGTCCCCTCCCTATCTAGTGAATCCCCGACCCCATCACCTTCCTTTCTCGGTTGTTCATTAACCCCTACCCCTCCTCCACTAAAAACATATTCAACATATTCTCTATAATTTCTTTAATAAGTTTGTGTCAATTTATATTCTCAATTAGAGGACGAGAGTAGTTAAATCCCTATAACTCGCTTGCTTTGAATTATGCTGAGACTTGATTTATGTTTGAATATCAATTGAATTTCATTTATGCAATCCTCATCTGAAATGTTCTTTATTTTTTGTTTCAAGTTTTGAGAAGGATTCCTTGAATCCTATACCCTAATTTTGAATTCTTAGTTGTGATTGAGAATTTGTAATTGTTCTTGATTCCAGCTAAGCGGCCACAATGCATCAAATAACCACCAAGTTATCTGACTTGCATTATATGGTTGTTTAATTTGATTTAAATGGTTTGGTGTTTGATCATTAACTAGGATTAGTGCTTCTCTAGATTATAATGCAGTTGATAGGTCAAATTTTATGTTCATAACTAGAATTGGCTTAATTAATTAGAAATCAATTCACTGAGCTCCTTGTGCTAGTTTAATCCTATGACAAGAGGGGTGTTTGGCGTGTGTCGACACTCACGATCTGGACTCAGTTGAGAAAATGTGTTTCTATAGAAGTCTATCATACGTAATTTCATAAAGAGTGAACTCTTTTGGTCCCTGAGGTTTAGTGAAATCTTTAAAAGTGGGACCTGGACTTTGATAATTTTAAAAATCATCCTTGTGGTTTCTATTTTCCTCTAAAAGTGGTCCCTGGTCACTAACTCCGTTAAATAAGGGTCAATTTAGTCATTTACTAATTTCTTAAATATTCTTTAAAAAAATCAATATAATATTCTATTAATATTGGGTAAACTTTAATTTTAATATCCCTCGTTTGAATTATCGTTCCTTTATCATTCCCCCTCCGACAACTTGCAAGGCTGCAACACCACTATGACCGGATTTAGATGATTGAAATAAAATATGAAGTAGATCATCAGAAGAAATACTTAGAGTTCAAAAAGACCCTAGAATTTGGAGGGACCGGTGAGGTGAATAGCGGCTTGTTATGGTAAAGTAACTTGGGATCATTGACGACAACCTTAACATTTGGACCCATCAACAACTACTATGATTTAGCTTGATTCATATCTGTTCGACTACAACCCCATACACTTGAAAAAAGGAAACAAATTTATGYATATATAAAAGCAAAAGAGGGGATTAGTGTAAAGAAAAAGAGTCAGACGATGAGAAATGCTGCGAAATGTGTTAATGGTTGTTGGGTATTTGGTTTGTCCCATATAGACCAAATCTCAAATTTTCAAGTGCCTTATATTACCAAGGCTATAACTAGTGTTAAATTGCCTAACTATCTAGTTGGGTCCAATACATATTAAATATCAAGAGGGCCTTGGGATGTAAGGGAGCAACTTGTCATTGTATGGGATGTAAAGGTCATTATATAAAATCACCTCGGCTATTCTACCATTCCCCACACAACCAGGGACTTTGTCCCATTCATAGTAGGTTCAGGGGTGATTTGTCAATATGCTTAAGTTCAGAGGTTGGCTCGCGCCTTGATTTGATGATGGTCAGCTGATTTCATATTTGTTTTGTTTAAGCCATTGAGGTGATAAGGTTGTAAAGGAAGAAGTTATGGTAGGGCCTTGGGATTGCCATTCTAAGTTATGGACCAAGGGTTGGGACCCTAGACAATGTCAAATCAGTATCAGATCAGTCATTAGCAACTCCATAATCAACAATAGTAAGGTGTATAGCTGCATAGTTTTATCACAATACTTGTTTCCAGTTGAAACACAGATGCATTATGTATCTTCTTATGGCCTATGTAATGTAGACATGTGCTATCTAAAATAATTTATATGAATCTTAAGGGAATGATTGTTAAGTGTCGGTGGTTGTGTGGAATTGACCCAAACAAGTCAGGTTGGAGCTATCTGTTTTACATGGGCGAACACTATATCTTGGCTTAAGACTCCACTAGCAGGTACAATCTATTTAAAGATTCAAGCTCAATGCAGTATGGTTTTTGCAGCTAAAAATACCTTAAATGTCTTGAACCATCAGGCATGTAAAATACAATGGTTAATAGATGATCCATCCAAACAACAAATGGCAACATAATCCAGAAACAGCAAGCACAATGAAGTAGAAATTATCCAGAAACAGCAAAGACAATTTTTGATTATTATCTTTCTCTCATCATATAGTAACAAAAGATATATATACCAGGCCATATGCTTGCGGTGATGCACCCTCTATGCCTGAGAGATGAAAGATTGGATTGAGTTGAGAAATCATAAAACTAATAAGTTTTCCATACGCCATTCCTGCAGCTGCACCAATAAAAAGTGATGGAGCATAGTAGCTTCCTACTAATCCACATGCACGACAAAAAGACGTTGCTGCTATTTTGATTGCTATTAGCTGCAATAATAGATCAACAGAGAGGCCTTTCACTAATGGTCGAGACTCTAAGAGGGTGTCAACATTCTCGAAACCCCAGTACAGAACTTCAGGATATATCAAGGCTACAGGTCCAACAGTAAAACCACCAACTACAGGGAAAACTGCCTTTGGCATAGCAAAGGTCTTCTGAATCTTGTCAGTTACCACCATTATCAACGATGTGCACCAAGAAAAGCTCAATGAAACCAGGCCACGAAAAATACCCAATAAAAGATACAGTGGAAGTTCTGAAACAAAAAGAAGATTTAGGCAACATTTTTACCTAGTAGATGCAGCTTATACTTGGTTTATTTTTCCTTTTTTTCATCTTCTTGAAAGATAGGAAAAACCTCACCCAAAGATGAGTAAACCAAGGGAGAGGAGGGGTTCTGCCACACACCTACTGATGCACCCCCAGTAATTCACTTGGAAACCAACAAATGTGAGAATGGAATTCAAGAATTCTAGGATATCATGCACGAAGGCCCAAACCCAGCTGGGCTTATGCTTGTATTTCTCTTTGAGAAATAGTCGTTGTCATCAAATAAGAGCAGCAGCACACAGAACAGTAAAAAAAATATGGTAACGAATAAGAAAGGTAGCAACAATACTACAAACTAGAACAAGCTCACTTATATGGTTTCATCACGATGAATAGCATGCAAAGGCATGAACCAGCTCACTTATATGGTTTCATGATTATTACTTTTTGGATAARTCAACTTGCCGGCAAGTGCATAGTGCTTCCAGGGGAACCAATGTAAAAAAAGGGCACGTTTTYAACAAGTTATACTTTGATTTCAGAATGAGGTTTCTTCTGATGATTTTAGGGAAACAAAAAGCATAAGGTGCTGAAGCTACAGATATTAGTGCAATTCCAAATAAGTTTGTGTGGTTGCTGGAATGCCTTGACTTCGGCATTCAAGAGGAAGGTAGTTTTGGWATAGCTGAAGTTACCTTACTAAGCACCTTTTTGGGAATGGTGAAAGGTAGATGCCAAGGTTGCCTTTGTTGTATTGGATGGTTAAGAGCAGTTGAACATGCTATTTTTACTAACATAGTAAGTGATGGGAAGTTCACACTAGGTGAGTTGTTTAGCAACATTGACATTACCGAAATTTGCATGGTGTAATTGCATTTAATCGTTAGGATCTCAATTGACCTGACAGATTTGAAAAAGCCACTCTTTTGAGGGATAACATGCTTGTAGCAAGTATCTAATAGTTAACACATGAAAAAAAACTGGAAAAGGAAATATACCACTTGGCGAACGGAAATCATAGTCTGAAACAGTAAAGGCAGGTTCAGATCCAAGACCAAATTCTGACACTACAGAGGCTATCACAGCACTAAGAATTACGGTTGAGGTCGTATTCATCAGTGATAGATATGACTCAGCAGGTGATGGCCATAAGACCGACTCTACATCAAAAAAACACCCAGGAGAAGGCAATAGCACACTCTCTCTTCTTCCACCCCTAAAAGAGTATAATGGTAGCACTAACAAATCAGAAAATGATAATTTGTCATCAACATAGACCCTTGAATGCATAAGCAAGTAGCAGAGGATCATAGCAAGAGGAGAACATCAACAGAGGCATTTATAGCAGATCAAAAAAGAGCACACCAAAGGACTTGGCCTACTGACCATCTAAGACGGTTCACCTAATTAATGTTTCCCATGCATCTCATTCTTAGCCAACTCCCTACTAAGTGGTCCTAAAATCCTTTGTTTTGTTTTTTGTGTTCATGCATTTTCTTACATATTTCTTTGTCTATACAGAGGTATATTTCAATTACATGCTCAATGAAGACACATACCCATCCCTTTCGCTCTACATATTTGACGTCACTGAGAATGTTTGGGTTTGTAATGGTTGATAGGCATGATGAGTGCCGAGTTTGGTTTTTTGATGTGTAATTGCAATTATTCTAGAAGGGTTCACCGAGTTTGGATTCTGATACCAAGTAATTTTAGACCTTTGATCTGGATGATCAGTCATTTCTTACACTAGTCCAGACTTGTACTTGGCAAGATTTTTCAATAAGTTCGACTCTTCATAAATTCCAAAAACCTCGGGACGCTTCCCCCAGACCACCGCGAACGGGTTCTGCCCCTTCGAACCCCGCAAGGGGGCACGACCCCCATGACCCCTGCCTTATGGCGATCTAAGGTGATAGGGGCAACATTTGTGTGTGTGCACTCCGCACCCCCTTACTCACTTATGTTTGCCTCATCATCTTACTAGATCTCTAGTAAATCACAACTACACCAAATGGTTGATGACACTAAAATCATCATACATGTTAACCATCACATCTATCATCATATCAGTAGAGGTCCGATTCGTCTTATCTATAAATAATGCAAGGGCGAACTTATGACCTCACAGATGGAGAGGGATTCGAACCTGACAACCTTGAGACGAAGGATGGGAATGAGCGGAATCAATGTGTTCCATTCAGTAATTGGAAGTCCCTACAACTCAATCAATATCAACAACATGTCATGACCGGTTAGGCTTGATTGATTTTGTCAGAAAAGAAAGTAGGTTTCTGGGGTTTATTGGTTATTACACCCCCGGTGCTGGTAAGCTCGGAACTTGGAGATACCCTGGGTTTGAACAGCTTCGTTTCCTATTAGAGCCTGAATAAGCTCGGGTATGCTCCACTCCAGTTTTAATTGTTTATTTGAGAGTAAAACCAACTTTGAGCATTTATCGCAGACTTCATGAAATAATAGGTCTAATTCAGGTGAAGCGCTTTCCGCGACCGAAACAATTGAAGAAAGCTCGCGTAGACCCTAGCTTACAGTAAACTGCCCGAAAAGGCCAGTGAGGTTCCAACTATAGTGAAATGAAGATCTTTTTGAAAGTTCACTATGATTGGAAGAAGACGGGTGGGAGTGAACCGAACGAGATTGTTCTAACACTTACTAAGAGGTTGAATTGCTCTATAGGATAGTACGCGAACGAATCGCATTAATGCTATTTGGCCTACTGAATCGCCCAGCGAACAAATAAAATTCAAACTCATGTTTCATACTTGTTTTTCTCTAAATTCATTAAAATCCATCTTCCGTCACCACTTGGTTTGTTAATCCTCAAAGTAATAATTTAGTAGAAGACTCACGATCACCCTTCAATTTTTGTCATTGCATCTCAAAAGAATTACTCTACCACACCAATAACAATGCCAACATCCAACATATACCTATTCATTGATTTACATTAAATTTCATCAAACTTGTCTCGTAGCATCAATGTGTAGTTATAACAACACATCCTATAAAAATTTAGAGTATCCTTACATAGTCCACAAAATATTCTAGTAATATCGTACTCAAGATTCACAATAATACTTTCATACATCAACTTACTGTATATACTACACTCATAACACTTCTAATATCCAATTCCAACTCATAACGTCATTGATTTTCCTTAATTTGACCGACATTTGATCTACCATGAACCTCTACCTAAAAATTCAACCAACGATCTCCACTTATCCTGCTTTTAAGATTCAAACTTGATATTGTCCCTAAAACATTTAGGTTGTCCCTACAAAATCGTGAAAATCCATCTTATAGTTTCACACAAKGAWAYATAAATCATATATTAGACTCCAATAACCTACAATGTAACCTTAGATCCACACTCTGCTATCAATGTACCCCACTCTTAATGTTTCTAGCATCCAACATATACTAATCAATGTCATTGATTTATCATAATTAACTTGTCCCATAGGATCTTTCTAAAAAATTGCATTACCCGAGGACTTGATTGTTTGGATCTTAACAACCGTCAACAAAAAAAATCTACCATATTTAATAATCTCATGCTTCACAACAATACTTTGATGAAGTACTATTCACAATGATCACTTAATTTTATATACCACACTCATAACATTTTTTGATAAGGAGGGGGGAGACCCCTCCAGATCAAGTAAAAAACACTAAAAAACGCAAGACAAAAAGGAACTCGGGTGGAAGGCGAACCACAACCACCAGAAAAGCCAAGGAGCCCCGAGAGAAAAGGAGGGAAAGAAAGAGATCCAACCACAAGGGAAGGGCCCAGGGAGGAAAAATCTGAGCAAACAACGGGAGACAACCGAGGAAAGAAGAAGGGCCTAAAACAGGCACACCCTAAACCAGACCAACAGAGAAACTAAACACACAATAAGCAACAACCAAGAGAGGCACACAAGACAAAAAACAAGAGAGGCACACTCTAACATTGCAAACATCCAAACACATACTCATCACGTTTGTTAGATTATCAGTTATATCCTCAGAGATTTGCTACACATAACATTGCTAACATTTAATGCGTACTCATAAATGCCTACTCATAAGTGTCGGCGAGTTCCTTTAATTTCGTCGAAATTGGATCTTCCAGCTCGTCCATAACATTAGATATTACCAACACATCCAATGAAGAGCATTTGATGAACTACTAACTAGTTCCAAAATTAATCTAGTTTATCCAAAATCTCTTACTCGTGATTCACAATTTTCAAGCACTGATTTCAAGTTCTTAGCTCGAATCAACTTATTTAATATACTACACTCATAACATTGCTTACATCCAAAGCATACTCATATCGTCATTGGTTTTCCTTAATTTCACCAGCTATTGATATTATTATTCCTTTAAGTACTAATATACAGTATGATTCTATATAAAACCTTGAACACCCAAACATATTTCAATACTTCAACAAAAAAACAATTCTATTTCGTCTATTCTGGCATAAGACAGCATAATCTTCACCATCAGGGTTATTGATCACCTTATTCCATATTTCAATATATAACTTTTTAACGTCAATAGCTTTAAATTGTCCACATAAGGTTTTTGCTTAATATACAAAATGATTC